TCATTTTTCCTGAAGAAAAGAACTGTGCTATTCGTGGGCACAAACAACGGTGGTACTTTCCGACCAAAAAACGCCAAACCAACTGGTCCGGACCGAATATTTGCACTTGTACATCGAGAATTTGCCAACGAACTCTGCGTCTCATTATCTATTAAATTTAGAAGTCGCTCGAAGAAGGCAATCTTCCGGAAGAATTAGTACTGCTCTCAAAATCTGATAAATAAGGGGGGGATCACGGATGGAAAAAAAATTATCGTCCGGTCACAGAAACATGTATCTCTTGCAAAATAAGGAGGCGCATTATAAAATGGACATGTGATAGTGTTCCTGAAGAAAACAATCTCTTGTGCAGTGCGTAACACAGTTTTATTCTGGGACGCTCTTTTCTCATCGGTATGGTCAATCAGCAGGAGAATGAGTCGAGATCCTTTATTTTTGACTTCCGAAAAGTCTTCGAGAACATAGTAAACCAACTCTTCATCAAACAGTTCTGGAACACAGGAATTCGAGGCAAAATGTGTGAGTGGATTGAAAGTTTCCTGTTCTCTAAGGTACAGGATGTAGTCATCTGCAATTCGGTCTCGGATTGGGTAAATGTTAAGAGTAAATTTTTCATAGGGGTCTCTTTTGGGCCCATTAGTCTTTCTAATCTCTGTGAACGAATACCTCGAGAATTAAGAAAATTAAGCCGTCATGCATGCAGATGACATCAAAATATGGACTGAATTCAGTAGCGCTAACAACGCAGAAAGTTTGCAATCGAATACCGACAAGCTGAATTTCTGGTTGTCCAGGCGACTCCTCAAGTTTAATTTATCCGAATATGTGGTCAAACACAATAGCTCAAGTCGAAACATGTCTCCGAAACGCCAGTATATTATTAATGGCACTGCATTAAACTAAGCGAGAACGCACAAAAATCTGGGGATGTGAACAACCGTGAACATGAAGCCTTCGGAACACCGTAGGAAGGCGGTTTCAAAGGCAACTAGTACGTTGCGGTGAATCATACATATGTTTAAAATACTCTACCGCGAGATCTTCGGTAAAGTCTTCGGCATCTTCCTGAGACCCCATTTGCCTTACAGAACGCCAATCTTAACACTGTGTACGAAAAAAGATAGTAAGATCCTCGAACAAGCGCAACGGAGGCCAACGTAAATGATGGATGGTTTTAAGGATTCATCATAATGGGAGAGGTTGAAAAAGCTTGATAGATTCCACCTGGTTTACAGGCACTTATGGTGCAGCCTGCGCTGGCAATTCCAGATTATACGTGGCCACATGTCCTCACTGAGATCGCAGGATTTTTTTGAGTTTGCCCATAAAATTGACCTGTGCTACCCAAACAGTTTGAGTCTTATCCTACGCGGAACCACCTAACCCTTTTTAGTTTATATCCGTGGAAATAAACGGTAACTACATTAATAAATTTCCATTTGAGGACTTCTTCGAGATTTGATAATGTCAAGTAAAATCACGTTTTTGCTACGATTGATGTATGTTAGCACGGCGATAGTTGTATGCGATCGCTTTTGAAATCTCCAGAGCGCTCTTGCATTTTTTCCAGTTGTCCTTTGATCGACGCATCCTCCCACATGACTGCAAAGTTGTGAACATATTGCTTTTCACAAGGGTGGATCCAGGACCGGCGCGAACAACTGACGACCGTGGGGACTAAATTGGATTTGTTGGAAGGTTATCAAAACGATTATTAAAAAGGCTACTATTAAGTTTCTCAAAGAAAAAAGACTGCTTTTACAGTGCCAAGCACAAAACGCTACTGTCTACTTCTCATGCTTTATTCAGTGGTGCAGTAGTTGAGCTAATTAGATAAAAGTACCGACACCGATGTCGTCTACAGTGACTTCAAAGAAGCCTTATAAAATGTTCCAAACCATCAGCTTCTATTTAAGATCCGCAAATCAGGCAAAAGGGAATCTACCAAATGGGATAGGAAAGATAGGCCAACCACAGTCCGTGTGCGTTGGCATCGCGAAAACCGCTTCAGTGTTGATTGCCACTGTTTTACCTTGGACATCAGTTCTTGGGCTATTACACTTTTTAATCTTTTTAAACCACCGTAGACATGGA